AATACGAGCTATTAATCCGAGTCAATAAGACCTGTAATGGTTTGAGTTGTCAGCTACAATTACTGGTATCGGTTATTGAGTTTAAGTACCGAACATCTAATACTAGTTTTACGTAGTCCTTTTTAGGAAGTATTATAACAGGGTTTACGAACCAGGAATTCATATAATCATTTTCGTTTAACTCTCGTATTATACCAGCTTGTATTAGTTTGTCCATTAACTTGTCGAATTTGTCTCGTAAATGTATGGTATTTTGCTTGATCATTGTTTTTTGAACGTAGCATCTTTTTAAAGAGGTATATGGAACTTGTGTTTCGTTTTTCCAATGTCGTACCTATGATGAGAATATACATCAATGCCTTGTATGATGAATTGGAGTAGATTGACAAATTCGTCGTCCGATAGATCAAAGTGTAAAATTGATTCGGAATCGAATCGAATCGTGCTATCGTTTTTGTTGGTTGAATGTATAATGTTCGTCTGATTAAATGTTGCGTTTCCAATAATTTGATCAACTGATCATTTTGTTCTTTGTTCCCATATTTTGTAAACTGGTCTTGAACGAGTGGTTTTCAAAAATTATTTGCATCATCCGAGAAATTGGTGGATATTTTGCCTTCGCTATTACAGGCTTGAACTATATCAGAACCGATTGTTCAAAAGTTTCGGATACACTTTCTGTATCGAAAACTTCTACTGCAGGCATACTATTGATTTCCCAACCTGGTACATAGACATAAATTGTGATTCCAGAGAATCTTAACACATCGACGATGTTTTAGAAAATTCTTTCGAATCCATTTTGTCTAGACCACAAGCTATTTTTGGCATTGCAATACAACGAAAATTATTAGTAACCGCATGATATTTCATTTCATCTAGTGCATAATGAATGCTTTGGTAGGTAGGTTTTTGGAAGTATCTTTCCTTAGTGATCAGATTATAAACTATCTGTTCGGAAATGGAATTTCGATCAAAGATGAGTTCGTTCACTTTGCTGTTGTGATAGCTACAAAAATCTTTCAATTTTGTATATCGTCGACAGACCATTTCGGCAAAGACTTTCTGTATTGAATACTTTTACTGCAGGCATGCTATTGATTTCCCAACCTGGTACATAGACATAAATTGTGATTCCAGAGAATTTGGCCACATCGACGATGTTTTAAAAACTTCTTTCGAATCCATTTTGTCTAGACCACAAGCTAATTTTGGCATTGCATTACAACGAAAATTATTAGTAATGGCATGATGTTTCATTTCATCTAGTGCATAGTGAATGCTTTGGTAGGTAGGTTTTTGGAAGTATCTTTCCTTAGTGATCAGATTACGACTTATCTGTTCGGAAATGGAATTTCGATCAAAGATGAGTTCGTTCACTTTGCTGTTGTTATAGCGTCAAAAATCTCTCATTTTTGTATTTTTTCGACAGACCATTTCGGCAAAGACTTGGGTCATTGCTTTATCCGCAGAAATCCATTGAGCAAATGGCGTGTTTGATTCAAATATAGATTGTTGTTGAAAATTGTTGTATTTTATACAAGGATCACAGACTCGGCTTGTGCATTCTAATGTGGTGTTTACGAGTGTATTTAACATGAAACAACTGTCAAATTCTGAACTTTCGTTTAGAATAGTTGCTGTAAACGCATCGCAATCTTGGATTGCATATACTTTTTCTTCTTCTTTTATATCTGTTACTGCATATCCGAGTACGCTTTTGTTTATGGTTACTGGTGGTCTTGTTGATTTTCAATTAAAATCGATAGTTTGTTTTCAGTTTGAACGCAAATAGTACTCATGAAAATTAATCCAGTCTTACAGGTGTCTTTGTGCGGAAGAAATGTAGTCCCTTTTTTAAAAACTGTTTCGGTTGTATGTTTATACAGATGTGATGAGCGGTGTGGGGTATATAGGGGATCTTTAAGTCGGATTGTTTCTATTTCGGGTTAGAAACATTCGGATAGTCTTTATCATTGTTTAATAAGCCATATGAGATGACACTTATTTCTGACTTTACTTCCACTGCTGGGATATCAAAAAGAAGGGCTTTAAGAAACAAATGACAGAAGTCGATCACTAATAGATTAACATTGCGTTCTTCTGTTATCCAGACTTTGTGGTTTAATGGATAATTTCCGTCGGTATCAAAGCATGAACCGATCAATGTTTGGCCAAGCATTTGAATTTCAAATCCATTGTAAGTTTTGGCTTTACTTTGGGATTCAAAAAGAGTCAGTTTTTGTCCAATTTTGTTTAATTCTCGATAAATTGGTTCATTTATGATGCTACAGGTTGATCCTGGATTAACCGTAAATTCAATTTCCAAACCACTATTTTTATTTGTGTCCACGGTGGCGATATGATACAGATTGAGATAGATCCTTGCTTTTGGATTGCTATCTTCACTCGGCTTCGGAGACTTTAATAATTTAAAGGAAACACATCTGTCAGTGCGTTACAGTAGTAAGTTTCTTCTTCTATCCAATGGATATTTTCTAGTTGATTTTGGTTCATTCTGAATCCTGGTGATCTTGATCGATCAGAATCTCGACTATTTTTTTGGTTATATCCGTTTTGATTATATTGTCGACCTCTAGGATCACTGCTGGATTGTCTAGTTTCTTGGTCATAATGCTGTTTTGCAGTTTGTTCATTGTCCCTGAAAGTATTTTGTTTTGGATACTTTTCATCATATGACTCACTTTGCCTGGGATTGGAATTGTACGATGGCTGTTGGTTATTTCATGGATAACCGTTTTTGTTATAATTAATATGATAACGAATGCCCTAGTTAATATAATTTTGGAAATTTGAAGTATTTCCATAATTGCCCGATTGACCGCTTTGGTTTGTAAAGTTTTCTTAACTGACCGTTTTGATTATAATTACTTTGATTTTAAAAATTTCGGTTACGTATATAGTCGGTCTCAAATGACACTTTTATATCATTTTTTATTGTTAGTTCTTTGCGAACTTGCTTACTTCGTCCTAGACTTGTTTCTCAGAGCATCTAGAGATAGAATGACCGTTCATCCTACAATAATTACAAACCGTGTATTATTTGGTCTGCCTTTTACATCAAGATCTCGGCGGCGAAAAGAATGTTGTTCATTTATTGCACTAATCTCTTGATTTTTAGTCAATTTGGTTAACTCTTTTATTTGCGTCTCTAGTGATGTCATTTTATCTGACGGGGTTTTGTTTGCATGGTCAGTGGCGACAATGAAAGTTAAATCTTTTGTAATTATATGATTTGTAAGTGTTTCCCATCCTGTAATGGGTTCTCTATTATGTACTCATGAGCTTTTTCCTTCAGAGCTAAGGGTTTTAGACCTTTAACTGAGAAATCCATATACTTTTGAGTTCTTTGTCTCACTTGTATATTTCTTTCTGATGTCTGTGCAGCGCCATCAACATGAACGGTAGTATCGATGCTTTCAGGTCAACCATTGTCGACTGAGGTTTTAATCCTGTGGAATTAATTTTTTATTAATTCGCCCTCTTCTCGAGTGGCATTTTCAGCATCAATTCGATGCTGGAATTGATCTCTACCATCAGTGAATCTTTTTAGGAAAAGATCTTTTAGTTCAGCCCAAGTAGTAGCATCAGTTACTTCACCAGTATACCATTCAAGAGCTGTTTCTGTTAATAAAGATCCAAACAAACTTTTTCGTCTGTGATCATAGTTAGGCTGAGTGGGTCGTTGCCCTAGTGTGGGTCGTTGCCCTAGTGAGAGTACAATTTTATTCTCAACTGCAACCCAAAAGGCTTTGCGTTTAGGTCTGGATCATTTCCTGAGAATGATACAAAATACAAGTTAAGATGGGTAATTGGGTGATCGGCCATCTTACTTTTTTCAAGTTAAGATATCCAATTTGATTTTAAAAATTGATCTTTCAAAAGTTGCAAAGACTACAATAAAGTTTTGATTTTTTTAGCCTTCTGAGTTCTGAAAAAAGTATATCAATTCTTTGAAGCTTTGATAATTTCATTATTTTGAAATTTGATAATTTCAACTTTTTGAAGTTTTGAAAATTTGAATTTTTGATAATTTCAATTTTTGAAATTTTAAAAATTTCACTTTTTTGAAATTTGATAATCTCAATTTTTGAGATTTTGAAAATTTCAAATTTTCCAACATTTTGAAAACTTTAATTGTGAGTAAATTTTTGAAACATGTGTGCCTCACTGGTCGCACCAATTACTCCAAACTAACTTGACTTAACTTATGGCGATCGACCAAATCGCAGCTAATTAGAATAAGGGGTCTTCCTGAATGTTGCTGAGACTTTCCTATTCTTATTCAACAGACAAAGTTTCTTTCACTCGTAATTAGGTTTATGATTTCAAATATAGGGGGCAAACATCAAATATAGAACATGGGTTATTGGCTATAGATTGATTGTGATAGTGATAGTGATAGTGATAGTGATAGTTTGGTATATTTTCGCTTGGCTTATATACCGTACATTTTCATATTTTCAACATTCCATCTGTTGGTTAAACCAATCAGAAAGAGACAACATATGTCGTAATGTTTGCTTTTGGTGATATTTTATCAACCGAGCAAACACATAGCTTCAAGCAGGCATATGGTAAAAGTTTAAGAATTGTGTTTCTGATTTCAATTCAGAACAATAGTCTTGTAACAGAACTCCGCTGTTGCTCAGAATATTATGTTGTGCCGCCATTATTCTGCAGACAGATCTCAATCTTCAGAATAGAGATTAGTGAAGTATACGACCCAAATTAGTCGCGTTGCTTACGTACAAGTTCTCTATTGTAGCCATTATAATCCGTGTTATAAAAACATGGATTCTTTCAGGACCAATTTTAGATTTTTACTTAAAAAGAAGAGTAAAGCTGATGGCCTCACGAAAAACTAATCTGAAAATAAAAACCGTGCTTTTTTAATAAATTTTTTCTGAAATTTTGTGCATGCGTGCTTACTTTATGGATTGATTTATGTACTTTTTTTTGAACTATTTTAAATTTAGATTCCAGTTCAAAAACTGGACAGTTTCTGCAGGGAAGTTCAGCCGAACCAGCCAACAGTCCTTCAAATCTGACTCAGATGATGAGCACAGTTGATTAGCGTCTAGATCCGGAAATGAACTTGATCCCAGCTATGAAGACATTCTGCCTGCAATCATCAAAACTGCCCCTGTACTCCAAAAAAGAAGAAATATTTGGGGAAAGAGCTAGATTCAGTCTTTATTCGAATGAGTTATTTGAACATTTGACTGTAACTTTTTTTCTTAAAATTAGTTTTATCTAGTTGTTTTGGAACTTTTGCGTAATCCCAACTTAACGTCTTGTAGCTCAATCTCGACTCGAAAACATTTCAAAAAAGTTTTCATCGTCCGTTAAATTCATTGCTAAAAGCTACTTCTTTGAAAAAAAAATCAAACGCCATCACAGTTTTCGTTTACATTCGATGAACCTGTAAAAGGTAATTGGCAAAGTATACTTTGGAACCTCTGAATTTTTTGCTGACATTCTAAAACATACCTCCAAGAAAACCGTTTTTCAAATCATAAGTAGTGGAACCTGATCTAAACTACATTTTATGATTGGATAAATTAGATATTTTACCAATGTAAAGTATTTAATATTAACCAATCATGATCCATCTGACTAACAATCCACTTATTTGTAAGTGCTGAAATTACTTGTAATTTCAGCACCAGAGAGATTTGAATTTAACTTAGAAGTTAGTTGAACTCTCCCGAGTACTTCAGCAGCCGCAATAAACCAGTATACCCTAGATCTATTGAGCCTAGCAGAGACTAGTTAAACAACCTGAGACTAGATAGTATAAGAGTAAGATTAGGATCGGTATTAGACTAAGAAGTTGCACGAATCTATCCGGCCGAAAATAAGATAGCGTGACGAGCAGACGGTGTACCCTATCCGAAATTACTCTATGAGTTATACCCATCGGTCCTAACTCATCTGGTGCGACCATAAGTCTCGAACAAGACCTTAATAGCTTAGAATTAACCAATAATAGATTAGAATTTAGACAAAACATTTACAAAATTTTATACGACAATAATTTAATCGAAATGTCTCTACGACTCAATAGATCAGAGCCAATATTCCGAACGATAACAGAACTACCCGGAATTGGAAGAAGACCTCGAACCAGAGACGACATACGACAAAGCAGAAACTTACCATATAGTTATATGATAGTTCGGCAAAAGCCAGAACAAACTTTTGTATTTAGAATACTACTAGCAATGAATTTAGATTTTCATTTGCAAACATAAAATTTTAAAGTCAATCTTCAAAATCATTTCAGGCGCTAAACAAAATTATTAATATACAATAACGATTGATAAAAAGATATCAGATCGTTTTCCTAAATTCTGCAGTAATATACAAAACATGTTTGAAGAATATTTATTGAAAAATCAAAATAAAAATTAGTAGCATGACAATAAATGGTTAGTAATTATAAATCATCCTGTTGTTCCAGCTTCATCACCTAAACATAACAGCATTCATAAGCTCACTAATATCATAAAAATACTAAATCTTTTCTTTACACAAATTTAAATCATTTTAAACTTAAATTCACTTAATTTTAAAATCAGATCATCAAGGCTTATCCTTGGATCTTAAATCATTTTCTATTTAATTAAATTTAACACTTGATCATCAAGGCCTATCCTTGGATCAAAAAATCAACTTTGTTCTCCCCCACCCACTTAACTAGTGTCTAACGACCTCAAACGTCGATTCACTATCCAACCCTTTCTAAAAACCCAGGACTAATAGAAATTTTTGAACACAACTAATCATTCAAATTAGGATAAACAGTGAAGAACTTCGGTTATTCATCCTTCACTTGATCGCCCCTCTTACCAGACCCAGGATAAATCTTAGACTTAGTAAGTTCAAATAGTATCTAACGAACTATCCGCGTTCTAATTATACCTGAACCTTGTGGATCGATTTACTATTCTCCAACCCTGAACACAATCACTACCCTTAAGTAAGATTAAGTAAGTTAACACCTTAGCTTATACTAGCCAAGAGAAAGTATAAAATCATTCTTCGGAATCGATATACTTTTCTCCCCAACCCTGAACAAATAGACCCAGGTTAGGCTAACAAAAAAATCGTAAGGACTAACAGTTTAAGCAAATAGAAATCATTTAACAACCTTTTGCACCCGTCATCCTAAACCTTATGTCATTTAAAAACCTAGGAAATAAACAAACAATCGTTTTACACAATTGTGAAATAGATAACAAAAAATACGACCTTGTAATCACACCTCATACACAAACAGTTGGATACATTAGAACAAAACGACAAACATTAAAGAGAAAAATAATAACTAAACAAAGACAAATAACTTGAAAAAGATTTTCAAAAAATCGAAACGCATTTCAGAATCAGAAACCAACAGTTTAGACGAACTTTATAAACTAAAAGAATCAATAGATAGAAATTGCCCAATTCACGATCAATTATATTTCTCTGACTCAAAAACAACTTCAAATTCATCAAAAAGAGGAAAAAGAAGAATAAAAAAGCAGTATAAACACAAACCAGTACATTTATACAATTGGAATCAACCAATTAGACACATTGATAATTACATATTAACGGTCATCGAACAAAAAAATGAGCTCAACGCACACCCCAGGTGAAGAAAGTCCAGATGATGATGATATCTTCCCCTTTATCGTATATGCAACCACTGATAGAGGACAGCATATATTTTGCAAAAATTTACTCTTAAATTTGTTTGAACCCGGAATCAGTCCATGTAAAACAGAGTTCCCAGATTTAAAAATCAAAAGACAAATTATCGATCACTATCTAAAAGATATATGTAACCTAACACAACAATACGGAATCTACTCCATAGAATTCAACTCACCAAATCAGAATCACAATAAATATATAATTCAAACAGACGACCTTGATTTAGAATTTTCAAAAGTATTCTCAGAATATATAAAAAGCATCCAATATCATAACTCACAGAGAGCAAACTCCATATTCACCAATGAAGTTTTTGCGATAATATATAGTTATATATCGATATTAGAAAACTAAATCCAGATACCAAGTGTCTCACCGACAGAAACATCTAAACATATAAGAGTACGACATGAAATCACACTACTCTCTATTTTTCTAAATATAATTAAAGAAAATTTCACGAAAGATGAAGTTTCCCAACATACAAAACACGACTTACAAAAAATTTTGGCATGGTTCATAATAGATTATTTCACACATAATATTGATTTAATTTCACAAGCAAGAAAAAATTTTAGACCCCAAAACTCAAACGATGATACTGCCATCACAGAACAATCAGACTATGTTTGGGACCCCGAATGGTCTCATCCCGCATTCATAAACTTCCCACAATCAATCTCAAGTCAAGCAATAAGTACGATATCTTATGTAAGAGATTATGTAAGAGTAATACCATTAACCATTGATGCAACACCAATAAACTATAATACATTTTTACCCGATATGCAAAATAATAGTTTAAACTCTACAGTCATACACAATGAAAACCTCAATGGAACTAGGAATCTTACTCAACAAGATATCCAGACACCATCACACTTCATAAATGAAGAAATCGTACACACAACAACTACACAACAAAGTATTTCACCAATACGTCCAAACTTAACAACACCAAGAAATACAAACCCTTCACAAACACAGGTAACCTTACAATCAACCGTTCAACCTTCGGTTGCCCCAAAATATTCACACATGGATTACCAAACATACAGACCCATGACAATACCGCCAAAAACACGCAAAACGTTCACTAGAAACAATTTTGCAGACCATAATTATAATTACACACATCCATCGAAAACAAATTATCAACCACGAAAAATTTTTAGTAATTATACAAGATCTCGAAACTGGGATAACTCAATGGCACCACCTAATTCAGTAAATTTCCAAACAAATTTACATCCTCCACAGGATCGTAGTGAAAACTATCCATTTTTTCAACAAAATAAAAATAAAAAACAAACATCTTATCAAATGGATTACTTATCCTCAGATGATGATTTCTTACAACCAGATATATTTGCACCCTGTAATCAAGAATATCGTGGACAAGGAATTCAGAAACCACATACATATCATAGAATTTTTTCTCCACAACCAATAGATACACAAAATCAACAACCAATTCAGCAACAAAAACCAATTAATACACAATCTTTTCAACCAACTCAGCAACAAAACCCAATGATTGCAAACTCGTACCAACCAGCACAAATGCAAAATGAAATACCACTCCCATATTATCTTCAACAACACGAAATAACAAGAAATCAACTTTCAAATTTTTCTCAAATGCCAAATGCAGCAGAATCATTACAAATGACAATGAATCCATGCCTTATGGGTGGATCATCAATAACATCAAATAAACCTTTAATGGTATTCACAGGAACAGATCCTGAATATTCTGTAGAAGACTGTTTAAATGCAGTCACAGCAAATTTAATTTTAAATATAGGAGCAGAACCAATTAATACGCCACTACATCAAAACTGGATACATCGACGCACAGCGTTGATACAAACAACTTTAGATGGCGCAGCCCAAAAATGGTTTTCAGTTTTCAGTATAGAAATAAAATCAAATTGGAAAAGGTTTACACAAGAATTTTCAAAAATGTTTGACTCCGAAAGAAACAAACAACAACAAAGAGTTTTATGTAATGAAATTCGCAGATTACCAAATGAAACCATCAAGCAATTAGCAGTACGCATCAAAACACTAGTTCGAAAAGCATATTCATTAAATACACACGACTATAAAAACACAAAGATGACAGAAATCCTAATGATGACCTTAACACCGCAATTAAGAAAAATAGCAATAAAAAAGAGAGCATCCCATCCTTCTTCAATTCGAGAACCCGATTTAGATTTTCGAAAACTAGTAGACAAACTAGAACAAGCAGAAATCACAATGAAACTCGAAGAAACAGAAAATCTGAAATTACAATATGTTAACCGAATCGAAACAAATACCACAAGTATCAACAATATACAGGAATCAGATACAGACCTCGTTGAAAAAATCACTGAAATACTCAATATTTACGAAAAACACCCAAACTTTAAAGGCAAACCATCTTTCAAAAAATGGTGTAATTATTGCCGACGATACGGACATAGTATTTCTGAATGTAGACAAAAACAGCAAGACAATCAAAATAAACCTCAAAAATATAAAGAACCAAATAAATCATTCTATCAATACATGAAAAAAGATCAAAATCTACCGAACA